ATTGTTCCAAGAGTTCACAACCCTCACTCCGAAAAAGTTTGCCCTCACGGTTTTCTGGACTTGCGGCTTCTTCAATCTTGAGCTGTGACCCCTTGTGGGGCGAGCGTCCGCCAGCTCCAAGTAAGGACACTCAACTGAGTAGTGCCCTGAGATGCTTATACACCTCAACTAGGTCCCCCCTTGCCCGTCTGTAGTATAAGCTAGGCAAGTTCAGGCGCTCCAATCTCTCAGGGTAGCTGAGGTGCCGAAGTGCAGGCACCAGTTTGGTGGCCCTCCTTTGAACATTTTCAACCAACTGACAGTCCCTAGCATATCTCGGGGACCAGATGGGGTGACAGTACTCCAGATGGGGAAGCACTTCACTCCTGAAGATCGTCACGAGGGACGGACCGTCTAGATATCTGAACGACCTTCTTATAAGACCCAATAATTTATTTGCCTGATTTACCTTCTTCTCACAATGGCCCGAGAACTTCAGCTCATTGTCAACATACACACCTAGGTCCTTCTCACACACAGTCTCAACTAGTACATTTTCTTCATCCCGTTGGGACATATGGTACGCCTCCTTACCGTTGGTACGCCCCAGGTGCATCCTCTTACACTTCGTGACATTGAATCTCAGCAGCCATTCCTTCGACCATTCCTGGAGCCCACAGAGGTCCTTCTGCAGCTCTTCACAGTCCGCTTGGTTCTTAATTTCCCGAAATAACTTGCCATCATCGGCAAACATTTGTATGGAGGAGTGTACAACGTCAGGCATATCATTTATGAAACAAACAAACAACAGCGGGCCCAATACACTACCCTGCGGTACCCCACTTGTTACAGGTACAGATGACGATTTCGTGCCATTAATCACCACACATTGCTTGCGGTCATGTAGAAAGTCTTCTATCCACGCTAGGACATTTCCCCGAATTCCGTACCCTTCCAGTTTGATTTTCAGCCTTTCGTGGGGTACACTGTCGAAAGCCTTGGCAAAATCTAGGTAAATATTGTCGATATTACCACCCCGTTCTAGAATATGGGTCCAAATATCCAATACCTTGAGCAATTGTGTCAAGCAAGAGCGCCCCGGCATAAAACCGTGTTGGCAATCTTTTACAAGGTTGTTTCGTAGTAGATGTTCCATCGCGGCATCTCTGATAATACTCTCAAGTACTTTACATATTATGCTGGTCAGGCTCACCGGTCTATAGTTGTTCGTGGAGTGACTATCGCCCTTCTTGAAGATAGGACTCACATAAGCCACTTTCCATTCACTGGGGACCATTTGTTCATCCAGGCATTTACAAAACAGAATCTTCAGGGGCTCTGCAAGCTCGTTGCACAGCTCTCTTAGCACTCTAGGATGCACCATGTCAGGTCCAGGACTCTTATGGACCTTTAGCCTGGACAGTTTATTTCTAATACCCTCTTCTGTGAACACAATGTGGGTCAGTGCTGTGTCGAACCGTCTGTCCTCAAACGCAGGAAGGTTAGTTGCATCCTCTCTTGTGAACACTGAGGAAAAGAAGCTGTTCAATGCCTCAGCTTTATCCTGGTCAGAATCTGCGTAACTACCATCTTCAAGCCTCAGGTCTGATACTCCTACTCGCGTTTTCAATTTCGACTTTGCATAGCGGTAAAACGCCTTTGGGTTTGACTTGACCTCGCGTGCAACCAGCCTCTGGAACTCCTTTTCAGCCCTCCTACACTCTATCTTTGCTTGGTTTCTGGCTCTTGCATACATCCTCCTGTCTTGCTCATCGTTTGACCCAACCCACGTCTTGAATTTCTGGGTTTTCTTCTTAATTTTGTCGACCGCCGCATGGTTCATGTGTAGGGATCCCCTCGTATTCCTAGAAGCACTGGGTTTGGTCTTGGGTATATATTTATCGATCAAATGGGTCATTTTACTAGTTATGATATTCAGGTAGTGTCTGCGTTCTTGTACCTTAATAAGTCAGGCCAGTTGATACCCCTCATCTCTTCCCTCATCCCATTGTAATTTCCCTTGTAATATTTGCACCTTGGCCTGGCCTTATCTTGAACTAGGTAACAGTTAAATCTGAATGACAACACTGTATGGTGACTGGTGCCAACTGGGGCAAGGTGTTCCAGTTTGGCCACCATACCCTCCTCGTTTGTTATGATGAGGTCAAGTGGCTTGGGTGTTTGCTCCCCTCTGTAATGTGTCGGGTCTCTCACATGTTGGAACAGAAAATTATCTCTCAGAGTTTCTACAAAAAGAGTAGCAGGATTATTCAAGTCATTCGGGGTGGACTCGTTTCTCCAGTCGATGTCGCCATAGTTAAAGTCCCCCATGATAAGGAGGTGGCTGGGGTTGAGCATCGCCGCATTGTTTATTAAGGTTCTTAAGTTCCTTTGATTTAGTGGGCCACAGTTTGGGGATCTGTAGATACACCCGACGATAAGTAAGTCCCCTCCCTTTAATTTAATTTTACACCACTTGGACTCTTCAAAAACATCCTCTCCCTGTACCCTCGCCTGGCTGGCTCTAAGGTCTTGCCTAGCGTAGATAACCACACCCCTCCTGCAGGATTCTTGAGTTAGGTTCGTAAATGAGTCATATCCAGCAATACTGAACTCACATTCCTCTGGGTCGATTCTCCTGTTCTTGTACAACAGTTCTACAACTCCTACAATATCTGGTTGGTGTACTCTTAGTAGTGTTTCAAACTCCTCTCTCTTATCAAGGAACGTGTCAGTATTAGTGTACATGACATTCAAGCCAGAATTTGTTCTCGGTAACGTCTCTGCTCTTAGTAATAAACCCGCTCCACCCACATTCTCAGAAGCTGCAGCATTTGCTAAGTACACTGTATTTTGCAGGGTGTGGTTAAAAATGTCATTGTTTACACGGCGCTCGTTCCCTCCTGTCCGGTAGGCTGAGCTGGTGCCGCCTCCCGGGTGGGGGGTTGAGTGGGTGGAGGGTGCACTGCTGCCCCCTGGCCCTGTGTCGGCACACTTGTTTCCACTACCCTCCCCCTGAGTATAACCCATGTGCACCTGTCCCCGTTCCTCCTCGACTCCTCCCTCTTCTGCTTCAAGTCCTGCAGGAGCTTCTTGTGCTGTTCCCTCTGCATTACCGTGCGGTCTGGGTGAATAAATACATCCCGAAATGCCTCGCTCCTTGCTAAGTTTTTTGCCTGCCGAATAACTTGCCATTTCTCCTCCTCACTCCCTAGTGTGATCCTGAGGGGGCGAGGCTTAGCCCCCTGCTTTTGTCCCAGTCTCCTCACATCCTGAGAGGTTGCTGGAATCTTCAGAACCTCTGTGCAAATATTTTGAAACAGCACCTTGTCGTGTGTTTCCTTACTCACAGTTCCCTCTGCCTGGCTCTCTGGGACTCCAAAAACTATTACATTGTTCCTGCGCTGGAGCCGTTCCTGGTGTTCCTCCTCTCCCCTAACAGTAGGTGCGTTAATTTTCATTTCTTCGACACACTTTTTCAGAGTCCCAATCTGCTGTAGAACCTGTACTGATTCTGCATTACTCTCCGCCCCCCCCCGTGGCCCTCCTAATACGTCAGCATAACTCCTCTTAGCAACCACCTCCATTCTATTAGCTACTTCCTCAGTCTTAGCAAGGATCTCTTTCCCAACTTGCTCCAGTTTGTCAACCAGCAGGGCTCCTGCTTCATCTATTTTCGTCCCTAGAGAACTCGTTTCCTTATGGATTGCAATCGCTTCATTCACCTTGACTATGCAGCCAGAGCAATACCAGCGACAGCCATCATGCTTTACTATTTTTAGTTCTTGTGTTTATTTCCGAAGATGTGAGTGATGACCGTGTGTTCCCAGGAGCTGATGATGCGTATTTGTCTTCTTTGTTGACTAAAAAAAGCTGAGTTATGATGTGTTGTACCAAGGCGCTTCGTCAACTTTCTCCATTTTCTTTGGTTTGCTAAAATGCTACACGATGCTCTTTTATTATTCTTGTTTCTGGTGATAGTCTTTGTGTTTCTTATATTCTATGGTGTGTGTGTGTGTGTGTGTGTAATTTTCGAAAGTTTAGATATATAGGGATGTTAAGTTAAATTAGGTTAAGTTAGGTTAAGCTTCATTCTCTATCCCTTGATCCAACTCACATAAAAGTGGAAGACGATTGAAAATAGATAGATATATGGACAGAGAGACAGACAGATATATAGATTAAGAGACAGACAGACAGACAGACCGTGAGTAGTGTCTAAGTATCAACAGTTCCCTAACATAATGCCAAAGAAAGGTAGAGAAAGCCTCAGATAACATATTACTTTCACCTTAAAACTCTCTCTCTTATCACCAACGTTAAAAGAAGAAACAAACTAGAGAAGCTTTAGGCCCTAAAGTAAATAAAAGTAGTCATTTAATCCCGCATTTAATTTCATTCTTGTTAGTGTTGATTTAAATCCGTTTTCTTTTATAACGTAATAAGAGAAAACTATTTTTTTATGGGTAACTTTTCAACTTTTTTATTATTTTTGTGTAATACAGAAATTATTTTTCTTTATCTTCGCCACTGCCCGGCCTATCTATCTATCTATCTATCTATCTATCTATCTCTCTATCTTTCTATCTACCTATTTCAAAGCAGCGGTAACTACCTAGTAAGGTACGGTAACTACCATTATTGTAGTTGGTGAAGTAGTTGGTCTATATTTTTGCACGTAAGGTTTCCTGAGTTAAAAGTTTAATTAATTTGAAAAGTATTATATTATTGTTAGTAATTAGTATTGTAATATTGTTGGTAATTAGGACTATATTATTGTTAGTAAATCAGTAATGTTGGCAGCCCTGTGTCCGAGCTGAACAATTTGTATTATATTATTGTATTCATCTTTGAATTTATTTTTCCGTAATCTTTTCCGTGTTGTTATTTTTCAATATTACGATATAAATTAATTTGTATATACGATTGAGGTTCTATTTATTTTGTTATTATCCCTCATTCCAATAATGTTTTGGGCGGGGAGACGGGCTACATAGAACGACGATTGGCCAGAGGCGAGTAGTTCACGAGGAGACTCTGATGGGGGAGGTGCTGCCGGTCGTCTCTCTGACCAGAAGGCCGCTGTTCTTGAAGTATATGGTAAGTTTTATTTTTAATTTATTTCGGTGGTAAAGGTCGATGTATTAACGCTGCTGTATTTTTTTTTTACAAAGTGATATATTTTTAAAGGACTATTGAAATACACAGGGCTCGAGTTAATGGTCGTTAACAATTACATTGACTAGTTACTATAGGGAATACTTCACTATTTTTGGTGTATTCTTTTATTTAAATTAATGAAATATGGTTTAGTTATGGTCACAGTAAAGACTGTTAATATTTAAGTAAAGTTTTATTAAAGTAACGATCATACTTACATTTTGGGTCTCAAGTTATAGGAATTATTTTACACAAGTATTAAAAGTATGTTACGCGTAAGCTTTTTCATTTATTTACAGATGGATCCAATTGGCTGTTACTGTTGTGTTAAAGACCAGTTTTCTGCATCACTGGTCGTCAGCGTGGGTAGTACAGCACCACCGTATTTATTGAGGTTAGTAAGTTTGTTCTATAGTGAAATGTCAAGTGTCCTTCACTTTAAACTTTGCCACTGGGGTCCAGAGGCGGTCGAGCGCAACTAGATATTGTTGGCAAACATACTGAGTATGTACTGGCTCTTGTTGGCAAGTACTGTTGGCAAGTACTGGGCATGTACTGGCTCTGCTACCCACTGTTGGCAAGTACTGTGCATGTACGGACAGTTAAACACCGTTTGCAAGTACTGTACTGTAGTTACAAAAGAGCTCACACTCGGTGCCGTCACGATAGATTGTACCAACCATTCACAACTCGCTACAAAAAAAAATTGCCGTAAGTTTTCTGGACTTGTCATTAATCTTAAGCTGTGGCGTCTAGTGGGGCGGGCGTCTTCTAGTTATGAACACAAAACTTAGTAATGCCCTACTACATGTTTATTAACTTGAATGAAGTCACACCTTGCCTGCCTATAAGCTGGACAATGGCATGAACCAATTGGCTTTACTTTACACAATATGCCAATCTCTCGGTGACCTATAGTATACAGTACTGTAATTATTCACACGTCACCCGTTTCAATATAGGAGTTTAATGTCATTTTTCAGTCAATGGGGGACGTCTTGTTTGTTTATGCATCTGTACAAAAAGATTTGCGCTCAGGAAGCTCCTTGTATAACTCCAACACTGGAAGCTCGCCATCACTTTATGTACCCATATGGTTTAGTTTCGGCCAGTACACGGCCGACTGATTTAACCATCCCCAACCTTTACATCTCATTTGGAGATTTTCAACCAAGGGGTAAATATGGTCAAATTAGTTAAAGGTTTTTCCATACCTTTAGGGGTATAACTCTAAAACGGTTACCCCGGAATTCAAGGTCAAAATCGAATAACTCCAAAATACACAGGATAAATTACTAGGGCGTATTGGCCGAAAATGTAATTGTATCAACTTTAGTTTGATAATTTTTTCAATACTTGACTGAGAACATGTCAGTGTTGTCACTCAAACGCATGAAGGTTTGCATCCTATTGTGAAACACTATTTAATGCTCGTCTTGCCCTGATCTGAGTGTTACTATCTTAGTCTTGGGTCAGATATGTCCACACGTAGAAAACTTTTGGGGCTTTGAATTGCCCTCATTAGGAATCAGATTGGCTATCTTACCCAGTCTTTCTCAGTGGGTTTGATCTGGAGTACGGTATACAGTATATTTTATCACAGTTTACTGGCTGTTATTCAGCATGGTGTCCGCATTACTGGCAGTGTAATTTCATTCCTCCAGTCATCCATAATGCTGTTGTGTATTAATGCCTGTAAACTGGCTTGGTTTAATTGCAATTCTGTTACCTGTAAATACTGCCAACAAGGATTCTCTTGCATTTAGTTTAATTTTCCAACATTTATATTCGAAATCCTTCTTCCACCAACAAGTACCTTCACCTGGCTAGCTCTAAGGTCCTGTTTAGCATTAATACAGTTACTGGATCACTCGTTAAGTTACACAAATACAGTAACTGGCATCAACCTTGGCATTCTTGACTTGCTTGCATCTACAGTGTAGTTGTCCAGTACGTTGTTCCCAGTACAATTAATATACTTGTATTCCATATAAACTTTATACCTAGTGGAGAATGTGGTTTACCCATGTTACAAATGGTGGAAATTAGTTTTTTTAATATTTTATTAAACCTTCCAAGGAACTTTATGTAGTTGTAAAGAATTACTAATTAATGTTCTGGGTTGACGACCTGTTGAGGATTGTAGTAGTTGGGTTAGTATAGCTCGTAATTGTTAATGTTAGGGCCTTAAAATTTGAACTTGGTTCCGATTGTCACTGTTTTGTTTATTAATGTTGCAGCATTCTTACAAGAAATTGGAGGAAAGTGTTGAATGTTACTATGCCTTACTCTTACCAACAGCTCATTGAATGTAAAACCTTTTTCACAAACAGATACCTTGCATTATGTTCATCAATAATCTAGTACTAAAACATTGTAGGGGCAGTTAACCAGTATAGTCAGGGGTTTATGTAATACACTGCAGCCAAGCTTATCACTGATTGTACTAATAGATAGAGCTACAGTAAAAATAAGATTGCGTAACATTGCGTTTTTCTCCAATTTTCAGAAGTTCTGTGTAGTGCTTCATTTATTCAGTAAACTAGTCGACAGGTGTCCCTTGATATACAACAGTTTTATTCTTGGGAATGTGTTCATTAAGTGGAAGTAATTTGTATATTGGGGTTATGTTCCTGTGAGGGAAAAACTTTATTCATACACAGATAAAAGTGGCATCAAAATGGGGTTTATTCATAGTTTGCTTCTGTGTAGTGTAGACATGTTGAAACTATTGTTTATCAGACATATGTACTGTATATTGGGGGATACCTGCATTGATGTAGCATGTACTGTATAATAGTAGTGTAGGTATACTATTTAATTGTTTATTACAGAGTTGTAACAATTATTCATTCCAGGATGATGACTTGAAGATGGAGGATCCACTCAAGAGTTTTCTCCTGGTGGAATGACCCTTGCTGCACTGCACTGCACCAGAAACACCAGTCCAGGTAATCTCAGGAGTTTCTTCACTAAACTCAAAGTACAGTAATTGTAACCCATGGACTACCTGTCTAGTTGACTACTAAGTGTAAATATCAATGAAGTATTAGTACAGTACAATATTAGGGATGCACCAACTAATTGATATAAATTGCAGATATTACAGATAGTGGGATATGCTATAACGAATCTAATTGGTTCTAGAACCTTGTTCGTTATAGCATTCGTTCGTTATAGGATTAATCCGTTCCAGGCCCCCAAATACAACCACTTAACACTGAAAAATATAGTATAAAATTGTAAAAATTGTAAAAAAGTGCATAAATATGCATCTAAACCCCTGAAATAAAGAATATCATTAATACTTGTGATAAAAAAACAATAAATTAGTAAAAAAAAAAAAAAATAATGTTCGTTGTAGGAGTTTCGTTCGTTATAGCATTCTCAATTTTATAGGTAAAACCGTTTGTTATAGGAATATTCGTAGTAGGATCCGTTCGTTATAGCATACCCCACTGTATCAGTATTTTGTGGAATTGGTATCGGTAAACAAATTATTAGCTGATGTCATTTTGCCATCTGTTTTGGGTCAAGAAATTACTCGGTAAAATGTTATTAACGGCAAAATACATAATTAGGAAACCAGTTATGGTCTGTTAACTTGTGTAAATGTCGCACTCGGCTGCCGTTCATTATCTGGTAGTTTTGTGATGGATAACATGGCAGTATCCTCTGTGCAGGTCTGTCTACAGTACTAATTATATGGTAATGAATATATTATCAGGCCAGACAAAGTAGCTTTTATTTATTCTGAAGAGAAAAATAATCTGGTAAAGACCGTTGCTGACGAGAAAGATTGTTTTATATATTATGGCATCTTGGAAGTACATTAGATATTTTATTTACCAATATTATCCAAATTAGAACTAAGAATGACCCAGTACAGTATTAACTTGTAATGAATGACAAACAGTAGGTCTTTGAGGCTAGAGAGGAGTTTTTTATAACAATTAAAGATAAAACTCCCTTTAAATATAATATTTTATTAAAGAACGAGTAAATAATGATTAAATGTTCCAAAATAAGTCTTAAACACTAGAAAAAAAAGTTGCCATTTGAGTTAACATTAGTCGGTACTTTTTATTATACCGCACAAGTATACATTTAATGTAGACAATGTGCAGTAGCTAAAACAACTATCTGTACAGGTGGGGGTCAATGTGCTCCAAAATTTTACTTGCGACTAGTGACAGCCCTCGTATGCCAATATTTATCGTCCATGGTCTGGTATCGTTTCCCACAAAGTATGCACAGATAGTTTTTAGCTGCTGTACACGGTATTCTTCCTGGATGGTTGCAGCTACGAACAGCCTTTAAATTATTTACCTATAAATAGTTGACTCGATCAGTGAGTTGTTATTGTGCCGGGTAGACTTAAATGCTGCAATTGTGAAATTTAAAACTCGGCTGCTCTTACTGAAGTTGATGCATTTGTGGATGGGCGAGACATTATATAATATAGCGACTTTAACCGATTTACCTGCTTCATAAAATTGTCCTAAATTATAGCATTAACTTTAAATCTGGCAGCAGAATATTGTGTTGAATCTGGTTATCTGTAAATACTGTATCATTAATGGTGCATCACTAATGTATTTGATAGTTCTTCAATTACTGTACTAAATTAAGTGGATTAATGTGGTACTTCCCTAGAGGATAAAACCTTCAGTTTAGGGTGATATACAATACTGTATTAGGATAAATTAGTACTTTGAAAATATCTTGCTTGAAACCTTTCACAGGTACAGTACTGTATTAACTTTACAATTAACTTTTTACAACCTCAAAATCCTTTAATACAAAACTTAAAACTAAAGAAATAATTTTTGCTCATTAATGCTTGACTTGGTGAATTCAGAAATGTAGATGGATTTGTGTACAGTATAATAATACGTACATGTAAAGTTACCTATCTACCGTGTGTACGCTAATAATAAATAGCAATTTAGCAACGTTCACTTTCAATATACAATACTGTACTGTACTCAGTTGTAGAATCATGTAAATATTACGAGAAATGTGATTGGCCAACTTGCAAGAAGTTCATTGTTGTAAGTTTAGTGAAAAGTAGTTACATTATTCACAAATTCCTAAAGCAGTCATTGAAAGAACATAAAAACATGTTGATAAAACAAAGAACCAAAGATACAGGTTTATGTAGTTGTGACTCTTCAATAACTTCTGGTTAAACTTAACTTGCATGTGGGAAAGTTTTGTGATAGCTTATAGTTTTGTAAATATGATTCTTAACTTGTACAGTACACTGTACATGGTTTAAGTTACTGATATTACCTGGACACTAGGCAGTATATCAAGGATCATTAGGTGAAGGATTGTAATAAACAAATTTAGTGTTTTATATAATGGGGTTTGTACATTTGGTCCTTGTCAAGGGATTTTGTCTAAAACACTACAGTACCTTTAGTCTTTACCAGACTTAAAATATTTTAATGGTTAAAAAATTCTTATTAATTTTAAACTTTATTTTGTACAGAAATGTTATTCTGAACATTGTGGTGGCTGCCCCCGGGCGGGCCGCTGCTGGAGACTGCCCCCCGGGCGGGCCGCTGCTGGAGACTGCCCCCCGGGCGGGCCGCTGCCTCCCCAGGGTGGCCGCTGTTGGAGACTGCCTCAGGCGGGCGGCTGTTGGAGACTGCCTCGGGCGGCCGCTGCTGGAAAGACTGCCTCGGGCGGCTGCTGCTGGAGACTGCCTCGGGCCGCTGCAGACTGTTCGCGCCGCTGCTGAGACTGCTCCCGGGCGGCCGCTGTTGAGACTGTTCCCCGGGCGCCGCGAGACTGCCTCGCGGGCTGCTGAGACTGCCTCGGCCGCCCGCTGCGGAGACTGGCTCCGGGCTGCCGCTGGAGACTGCCCGGCTGCCCGGCGGAGACTGCCCCGGCGCCGGAGACTGCCTGCCCGCTGGAGACTGCCCGGCTGCCCGCTGCTGAGACTGCCCCCGGCTGCCCGCTGCTGGAGACTGCCCCGGGCTGCCCGGCTGCTGGAGACTGCCCGCTGCTGGAGACTGCCTCGGCTGCCCGCTGCTGAGACTGCCCGCTGCTGAGACTGCCCCTGGCTGCCCCTGAGACTGCCCAGCGGGCCTGCTCCCTGACTGCCTGTGCTGAAGAAAAATTTTTAATAACATTAAGTTTACATTAATAAATGTCTAAATGTCACTACAAGTATTCATTAACCTTTTCCCTGCTTTAACACTTTGAACTTTTACAGAAAATTAAGTTCAGCTTCAGATTTTGAAGCAAAATACTTTCTTAAAGCATTAGAAAAATCTTATACAGTATACAAATATAATATGCAAAAGAAAAAAAATATATATAAAATAAAAAATAGCTAAAAGAAATAGAATATAATAAAAAATTAACTAAATAGTAAAAACTATGAAAACAAAATATATAACTGAAAATTATGAAAAAACTAAGAAACCAAAAAAAACAAAATCATGAAAACGGGCAAAAAATCGTAAAAGCCTAAATACTTATGAAAAAAACTGAGCAAAAATGGCAAAAATTAATTTTTTACTCTTAAGTCGATTGCAGTGTTTGCCATTGCCAGGGTAACATTGAAGGTAAGATAATCGAAGAGTGCCCGATAAAAGCCTCTTCAAATTATCATTCACCAATAGGGTAGCATAAGCTCAACGGTCTACCTGGACATGGGAGAATAATCCAGCACTCCTATCTCACAGTTACCTCCCCACGTCCAGGTAGTCTGTGTGGCTGATGAAAACAAAATGGAGATGCCAAGCTGGAGCTCTTGAAAATGGCAGGCATTTTTAACCCTAAAACCATACAATTTATTATTATCAAATTTACCCAGGAATAACTTTGGCCATTTTTGGACTTAGAATAATTTTTAGACTTGGAATATTTTAAATTGAATTTTTGGACTTAGAATATTTATAAACAATGAATTTTTGGACTTAAAATATTTTTGGACATGGAATATTTTTAAATTGAATTTTTGGACTTCAAAATATATTACTGTTAAGCACATCTAGACCTTAGTAGATAAATACAAAAATATTTGGAGTAATCAGATTTAAAACATCAAAATAATTCTGACATTTCGGTACCAATGTGATTTGGACTTTGGCTTAATTCATGTTTTCTTTTAAATTAAACAATTTGAATCTGGAACTACAGAGTGGTTGTGTTGCACTTGGCTGCCATACACAATATTCTATTCATAATTATTGGCAAATATAGATATTTAAAATGTACAATGAAAGACAAAACTGTCGAGAAATTTAGTCATAACATATGCCAAGGGCTAAACTTGTGCGCTTCTGCCTTAGTAGGGCTCTCATAACGCTTTGTTATATTTAATCTTCGACAAAACCGCAACACGACTTTTGTCTTTAATTGTACAATACAGTAAATAATAGAGTAATAAATAAATAATGTGAGGTGAGATCAGAAATGTAGATGATATTCCAAAAGTGTAATGGCTACAAAAACTGCAGAACTAAAAAGACAAAATTTTTCCTAGCTGAGAAGAGATGCCCTCACCCCATCCTCAAGAGTTGTCCGCCCAGTTTATCATTATGAATTAACTGTTAAACTCTGTAGCAAATTGACACTTTCGAGGATGCATTTAATATGTACAGAACTTATTTACCTACACTAAGACAAATTACGTGTCAGTAATACAACATTATGCAAAACCAACCTCAAAATATCAGAATTCATAAGTATTATACGGCCTCTGAAAGTTGATGGATGAGTGTACAGACTGGGGAGCTACATCTAGCTGTCAGCAGAGGCGAAAAATGAAGTTGTCAGCCTTCATTGACGCGCCGTAATATTTCAATGTGATTCTGATCTTAAAATGTTAGCTTTAGCAATGTATTACTAATATGTAATTTGTCTACTTATTGGCGGGTAAAATAAGTACCAAACATATTAAATGCATCCTCCGAAGCGCTAATTTGCTACCAGAAGTTTATTAATTCGTATACAAATACTTGATAAACTTCCTACATGCTCATGTTTGAAATAATAAATGTTTGCATATAATTGGCTAAATATCTTTCTCAATAGAACTGTCATCCCAACGATTATGAATAAACTCATGAAATACATCATTACTTAAGGATGAAATCAGACAGATTTGCATGAGTCAATCAGCAGTACTTTCTTGGAGGAGGAGGCGGGCACTCTTTTCAGCTAAAAAACGCAAACAGGTCCTTCAACTAACAACAACAAAACAAGGAGAAACACATAGAACAAAGGAATCAGTCTCCTGAGTTAGGTAGGTGGGGATTAGGATAAATCTTCTTATAGTGACCCCAGACCTGATCCTGAATGCTATTACACTTTCTGAATATCATCTATATATTATCAGTTCACCTCACAGTTCTTACATTTATTTATGACTATATTACAGTATTTATTTTATTATTACTGTACTGTTTGTACTTTAAAAAATATTTGTTTGCACAATAATATTAATAGAGTATTTTATGTGGCAGATAAATCGAGTATGTTTGTAGCTTGGAATAATGAGGAACAATCTGAACAAACTGGACAGAAAACGAAGGAATAATTTAACAAAATTGAAAAATTGTTAATAATATCAAAATATTCTGAACCGTTAATTGCATTTTCAGTAATTCTGTAGACCACAAACTGCACTATACCCTCATTGATTCGTCAAAAAGAATTTGGATCACTCAATTACTGAAAATACAAATTAACTGGAGTTCAGAATATTTTGATATTATTTGACAATTCTCAATTTTGTTTTCAATTACTGTATTCTTTCATTTTCTTTCAGTTTGTTCAGATTGTTCCTCACACCTAGCCACAATCATACTCAGTTACTACAGTAGCACCAACATTTCATCCTCCTCATGTCATTCTCCGCCACAACCCCTCCACATTCATTCATGTTTCTCTTGACCCAGTGTTTCTCCTTCTCTCCACAAGCCTGAACCATGTCAGTTTAGCCTCCAGGTACTGTACTTCTCTGTTGCCACCCATCTTCCACATCTCACACAAATTATTTTCTTTTATCTCTTTCCATTTCATCATTCCCGCCCACAAATCTTATCAACCACACTCAACGGAACATCTTTTATTATGCCCCAGCATCTTGGTACACTGCTCCTCACTCTGTCCATCAACCCAGAAGAATGTTTTACGACATTCAGTTCCTTCACAATTCCCCACTTCTCCTTCTGGAACATCCACCTTCTTCCCCCCCCTATCTTTGGCAACATGTCACACACACACACACACACACACACATGGCACACACGACGAGCTCACAAGCATCCTAACAGCAACCTGTTCTAATTTCCTATGTAGCCAATCTGGGTTTCTGGTCACCTGACTTAGGCCATACAAGGTCGTCTCCATTTGCCCTCTGTATACCACCTCAGTATTCCTCATTCCAAAGCAACCTTCATAGCCCAGCATAAATTTAGAAAATAAAAATAGATTTTAATGGAGATCACTACACTATGAACTGTATCCCTAAAACAACATTAACTGGCCTGACTACAACAGAATAATTGTCACATAAGTCAATCAACAGATTTTAGAGCAACATTAAATGACAATTAACTAATGATATTGAATTCTTTAACGAACAATAAATCATATATACTGGGTTTAGTTAATAGAAATAAAGATATAGTAAAGTACCAGAACAGTTCAACAGTCCACCAAATCATATTAATTCTAAAGTCCTTGAAAACACAAAGGAAATCAATACATGTATATATTTTTATCAAATCACATTGTGATGACATTCTGAGTCCAGGTAAATTTAAAAGAAAAATTTAGCCAAATTATACATGGATAAAAAGTGAGAAATAAAGGTGTTCTGGTTTATAATTAAAAGAAGACAAATTGTCAATCTTCCAGAGCTACAGCTAAACACCTCAGTTTACAAGTCCATTCAATATTTACCTCCACCTCACACTGGCTCACACTGCAACAGATTAACACCTGTGATGAAACAAAATTATTATCAGGAAATCTCAAAATATTTCCATACACCAGACCACTTTTAAATAGATAGATAGATAATTTATTCAGTAAATCCTATCATAAAGTTTACAATTGTCTAACGTAGATATAGCCAATGCAGGTGTACACTTCAAAGCGTATATAGACAATGAAAATATAGTGGTGTACTGTACAATAAGTGATGCTGTATTATATAACACATGAATCTTACTACAGAACAGAACAATTTGTAAAGACCCCAGGTTAGCTACTCTATATAATATAACCTTGGATTTAGAGACAAACAGGAGAGCACGTGTGAGGCCACAGTCTGGGTAAGAAGGTATCATGCGATGCCAGGACAAGTGTAAATATGAAGCTACAGGTACCTTCTTTATCACTTAGTCACTGGTTAAGGATCATCCTCCCCATGTGTAAAAATGGAACATGTAACTTGCTGATGATGACTACCATCCCCAGCTAACTTCTGCAGGTGATGGCTGCCATTTGAGAGTTAAGAATGTAATCCATCCTCATGTACTCAGTGAGGATTATAGAGGAAACTTAGTGTCTGACCGCACTGATAATGGGTGAACCACATCAAGGACATAATAAAAAATGGCTTTGTTATAAACCGTAGTGCATTGAGGAATCTGTGTTGACAGCTGATTACAGAGCTGTGACCTTCTGAATACGCCGCTGTTAAACTTCACCCCCAGTTTGTAACAGGATGATCCAGGTGGGTCAGACCTGCACACAACAACTACCACACTAACACCACCGACTTAACACCAAAATATTTATCATTGGTCATGACTGTCACCTCAGAGATCCACTACATCCTCAGACAATAATAATTTGGGCTTTTCCACAACAAAGGCCAAGGAATGTACAGTAATAGTTTGTTATCTGACAGAGGGAAGATGGAGGCAAGAGAAGGTCACCTATAGTTGTGTGATCAAGACTCAATCATCAGTAAATTACTGGCATAAATGTTGAAGCTCACTATGGCTGAGTCAACATTAAATTATGATTCACCTTTGTTTAAACGTAACAACATCGTAGAAGTACCAGTGATGAGCTGTTTGGGCAGTTTGTTCTTGCTATGTTCATTGTCCGGTGTTAATACTGTACAGTATAGGAGGAAACTGTAGCATTGTACCCGGAGAAAACCAGCCATGTTTGGTAGTGAGGGTAACATCTGTCCCAGGTTGGAATGAACCCGGGACACAGTGATGCACCACTAAAGATATACAACTCCTGATATGTGAGAGACAATCACCAGTGTTTTGGTATAAAAACAATAAACACTATTTCTTGATTCTTCTAAAGTGGTCTAGTTGCTGAATATATTGGACATTTTCCTGTTAATATTTGTATTCCAGGTATTAATCACATGCACTGTCAACTCAGTGTTGCCTATCATGGTTAGTACATTAGTTCTGTCTACAGTACATATAAGACAGATATACTGTAGACAGATGGACAGAAGGATGTAGAGAGATAGACTGATAGATATACCATATTTCTCACCATATAAGACATATTTTTAACCAAACAAATGTCTCCATAATTCACCCTACATCAAGTATAACTGTATACATACATATATACACCAGGCCAAGCTGTGTTATTGTTATTTTTCAACTTGTATTTTCAGGTTAATACATGTACTACTGACATGTAATTTTATTAATTTATTTTTTACTGTTACAGGGTATATGGACCTGCAGTCTTTCAAACAGAATGTATTAAATAAATTTTTACCATAAGGTCAAAACCATAAAGAAAAGAAAAAAATTAACGTCCGCAGGAGTCAGCCCACGATCGTGTGAGGGGGGGACCACACCCCAGTCTCCGGTCCTTAGTGAAACAATTGTCAAATGGCAATGCAGTATTTTTTTTCCTTTTATTTATTATTATTATTTTTTATTCATTCCTCACATTTACAGAGGAATATATTAGACCGCAGAGAGGATAAAGACGCCTCACTTGTCCACAGATTCTTAAAATTCAATGCCGTGGTTGTGAAATGGTTTGCAGAGTAAAAACCGTGAATATCAGGAACTGTGGATGGAAATCCTCGGTTGGCTAGGGTCAACTGTACTGTACAGGTTATGGAACACATTGCAATTTTTCTATGTAAATGTTTGTTCCTTTGGTTTAGGTGAACTTTCTTGGGACTATAAACCTTTCATGTTGTATCAGTGGTTGCCTTTAATATGGTGAGAAATACAGTACAGTAGTATAGATAGATAGATAGACTTAAAGTTAGGCAGAAAGATAGAACAAAATCATCACCACATCAAATCATACAGCCATTTTCCCACCATCTCTTGCACTCTGTCTTGTCGTGTTCTTAACTCTAAGATCATTTATTACAACCTTCCCCAGGTCATTCTAGGCCTACCTACACACACTCTGGTTCTCCTTCTCACCACATTTAGTCAGGCACCACTTAAGCCCAACTGGTCTCATCCATTCTCTCCATACACCTGATCTCAGTCTACTTATACTTAAATCTTAGCCGATACTCAATACCCAGCCGCCCTCTTAGCTCTGAGCAGGGGATTCTTTTCTTTCAGCCAAAGTACACATCCACCTCACCCATTCTTATTTCAGCTCATTAAAGACTGCATATGTCATCCTCTTTAACTTGCCCATGTTTTCACGGATATATAACACCACACTTCTCACACCAGTTGTATATATTCTTCCTTTCATGTGATGGGAAAAGTCCTCTTACTGACAATAAGACAACAGTTTCCCTAATCTTCCTCCATGCATTTCAGACTCTTAGATAGAACAACAACCCCACCAGCACTGATCATGTCATCCAGGCAGCAAAACTCATCCATGACTCACATCACAGCAGCCTTCAGCACCCTCCAGCACTGATCACATCACAGGCAGCAGGACTCATCCGCAGTACAGGATAATCTTCAGTGTTGGGTTTGTTCAGTCTTGCCTGTATATTTTTTTCTTTACACACATATAACTTAGTCAGCAGCGTCAAGTTGCTTCCTCACAGTACCTCTTGTGTACCTATTACTCCTCACTGTACTCTTGTGTACCCATCTTCTCTTATTTTTCATCTTTGTCCCACCTTCTTACTCATGTCAATATCTTTCTTCTGATAGCATAGATATGGATATGACAAATACTTGTATGAGATTAAGACAGTCTGATGTTGATTGATACTGACGGACAGACTGACTGACATACAGGTATTGGAGAGGAGAGAAAGACAGATGGACATTTTTCGAAATTTTGAGATATAGACAGATACAGCAGAGAACACAGACAGACATAAAGGCATATTAACAGTAGTGTCTCCATGATTACAGTTATTAATTTCTCAATGCGTTTTAGTTCATTAAATCATCTGCAACAAACAAACATAAACATTTTAATATGCCTGACGTTTTTTATACGATAAATTGCATGTCCGCCAAATTAGTAGTCATTCGGTACAAATTTGATTGTTTTATGCAAGTTTGAAATTTTGTCAAATTATGTATTTTCGGAGTCCCAACGTCAGTACTGTATATAGACAAAATTTTCCTTTGTAATTAATCCTCAAAAAAATGGCTAAGTAAACCTAAAAGTGAGAGTTTTGTGGTGCTGAGAAGAAAAAGCATAATTTATATTTGTGATTTTGCAGTATTATTTAAGCATTTCATAAGTAAGACACAAATGTTGCCGGGAAAATCAACGTATCCACAGACTGTTTACTCATCTAAAGCTAAATGCCAAAAACATTAACACATTACTTTTAAAAATTATTAAAGTGGATTTGTTTCTATCAATGGGAAAAGTCTGTGATTGCAACCGAAAACATTGTCAGTAATAAGATGATAAACTGTTTCTACTGTCCGTATAATTTGCCAAATATTGACATTACTTTTGCCAGGGCAGATAACCTTTTGGTTGGCTCATGAAAATACCTAAAATCACAATGCAGCCCATGACTGGAGGAAAGGT